AGATGTCCAGCGGAAACTATACGCAAGCGACATCGGTTTAACTCGGAACTGTGTTTCGGGAACGTTCGGAAATAAACTATACTTTCACTCAGAATAAAATTAGAAATTTAAGCTTTAACATATATGTTTTTCCAAAATTTCGGAGGGGGGGTTGAACCCCCCCCTGGATACACCCCTGTTTTAACGCAAACGGTTTCTCTCAAATATCTCCGTTGGACCTATTTGTCGCTTATGTGTCTTTTTCCGTTGTAGGGCAGAAAAGATCTATAGTTGGGTGATCCATAGTAATGGAAATGGGAAACAAAAAAATTTGAATCACTCAAGTAATTAAATTCCACGTCACTTGAGATATTTTATTCACATTTTTGTTAATTAATACACACCACTTATTGAATAACCGCATATTTACGAAATAAATTATTAACCGATGGGGGGATACGAACCCTAGACCTAACGCATACTGAACACTAACGCTATCCACTACACTATACACGCATCTACAATATTTAAGCATATAATATGCCTTATTTACACTCTACACATATTTCATGAAAATGAATTTACATAAACACCAATACACTGTAAAAACAAGTGTCTCAATGTAAGACGTTTTGTTCCCACTTTTGGAACATTTGAGGTGTTTTACCTCAAAATTATTGAGGTAAAACACCTCATATGTTTCAAAAGAGGGGACAAAAATGTCTTACTTTGAGACACTGTTTTTACAGTGTAGAAAATAACAATAATAAATAATAAACAATTATAACATTATTTATACACAATAAACTTATAATTATTTTTTATCTTAATTTCGAGATATATATATATATATATATTAAATACATCTTAAAAACTTTTCTCAGGTGGTCAAGTAAATTTGCATCAAATAGTGAATCAAAAATGTAATAAATTCACGCTTTCCAAAATTTTTAAAAGTCATAGCTTTTGAGAAATCGGCTTTGTTGGACAACTCACCTCGGTCTGCCCTAGAATTCGAATGAAATAAAAAGAATTATTAAAACTGATGTGTTGCACAACTCCCCACTGACGCTGTTGCATAACATAAATTGCATTCAGTATATCGAAGTCCTGATTATTCTTGTACACTTACCTTTTTGATTATCTTCAAAAACTTTGTGTAAATGTCCGAAACTAAATTTTTAAATTCCAAACTATACCAGATTTATTTTTGGACTGGGGTTCGTGTTTTACCAACTCCAATTAAAAGTTAATCAATTGAGGATTTAATCATTGATTAACCTTTAATAATCAGTGTTGATGAAACCGTCCTTAAATCTTTTAATTGGATGAAATCCGGATTGTTACAGACAATTTTCGGATTGTTTTCGGCTCACCGACCGACACAATACGGCACTGGCTGGTTTAAATGACGTTAAATAGGTAAAGAAACAATTTTCAACCACTCTTTCTCTAAGCACAAACTCTTTTTACAAAATCCAAAACATTGTTTAAATTCATGCACGAACGTGGTTGCAAAATCTAAAATTGGAAGGTAATTTAATGTTAAGAATATGTTTGCTGGGCCATTGTGCTCGCTCTGCATGCTTTTGCCTTCTTCTGGCGACTGGCACCTATAGTAAAAAAAGCAGGATTGGAAGAGAGCGAATAGAATTGACGGTGAGTTTCTGCCAATACGTTTTCGCGTGAAAACCATATTGGGGGCATTCTGCCAATCCTGCTTTCTCGCCGTCAATTCTGTCCTCTTGAATCTTTCGATTTCACGTTTATTGACTCGACTTGAGTGTGTACTGTTGATCTATTACCACATGATTTAGGGAGCTTTCGACGTTCGCGCTAGGGGCGCTGTGAGTATAAGTCACAGCGCTTATCTAGAAAATACCTAAATCATATGGTAATAGACCAACAGTACAGCCTTCTGTCAAATTTTATTTACTTACATTTTAACATTTTTATTTTATTTTTTTTATATTTCCTGTTTGTTATCAGCATTTTTACACATTATATCAATCAGTCTTTTTGATTGAAATGCCAAATCGAGTTAATAAACGTGAAATTGAAAGAAACAAGTGGACAGAATTAACGGCGAGAAAGCAGGATTGGCAGAATGCCCTCAATACGGTTTTCACTCGAAAACGTATTGGCAGAAACTCACCGTCAATTCTATTCGCTCTCTTCCAATCCTGCTTTTTTTACTGGGCAGTAAACCGCTTCATACTGTCTATCATTATACATTACTTTCCAATTTTACATTTTACAACCGCATTTTCGCGTGGATTTAAACAATCTTTAGAATTATTGTAATTTAGAAGATATCCGCCATTTTGAATTTTTGGAAATAAAGTTCATATTCGTAATCAGCGACCCCAAAAACCCTCGAGTGACAAGTTTCAAGTGAATTCGATAAATTTTTGTAAAACTCATCCGCCTTATTGGATCCGCCATTTTGAATTTTTGAAAATATAGTTCATATTCGTAGGCAGCGACACCGAAAACCCCCGAGTAACAAAATTCAGTCGAATCCATTGACTTTTGGGCAATATAAATAATATTGCTCAAAATTTTCAAATTTTACGTTAGATTTGACGCCATATTGGTCCGTCATCTTGACATCTTTAATTCTACTTTACTTTTCTCGAAAGCGTATAATTTTTATGCACCAATGGTTGAAAAGAGAATTTTATTCTTACATTTTTTCGAGATGAAAAAAATGTCAAACTTGAAAAAATGAATTTTTTTGACATTAAAACCGCCATATTTAATTTTGGTTTAGATGAAATTTATTTTTGACACCGGAATCGGAAAGAGCACATCCAAAACCTTTAGAAAATGTACCTCTGGTACAAATTGTCAATCGTTTTATTTATAATAACGTAGCTTAAAAATTATCATAGAATTTTCACGAGTTCGGCGTTAATGGGTTAAACGCATTTCTTAAATCAGTAAAAGAAAAAATGTCAAAAAATTTCGAAACAGAGCAAAGATACTATATAAATAATTAATATTTATCAAATGAGGGCTCACTGCATAATAAAATGATATATTAAGTAAATGGCGCGTATCTCTTTATTGCAGGTAAGCCAATACAGATTTGTACAAAAACCCTATTGGGGCGTTTGACTCAATCATTTTTTCGTCCACCAAATACGGTCCTGGAATATAAAATTGCCGATTTCGAAACAAAACAGTGAAAAATTATTAAAAAATGGTAAAAGCAAAATTTGACAGACGCGACTGCATTTAACATATGTATCAATGAAAAAGATAAGTTTAAATAAATTAAGAGGAATCTACTGTGCCGACTTCAAATTTTGCTGTTACTACTTTTTAATAATTGTTCACTGTTTCGTTTTGAAATCAGAATTTTTATATTCCGGGACAATTTTCCTTTCAATTTATGAATATCCATCTCTCGGTCTATCGCATCGTCACCGCGGTTATCCGTCACTGTCTGAGTTCAATTTTTTTATTTTTATAAAATAACATTAAAAAATTTATTGATAGGTATGTGCAACAAAACGATGCAAAAATTAGATTTTTTATTAAAAAATTAATTTTTAAATAAGAAAATATAAGATATTACGTTTTTTAAATAAATTTTTTTAATTAATTAGGTAATTTTTTGTAAAATTGTTGGTTTGTATGTAGTAGTCCAAAATAAATAAATTCTTGTACCTTCGACTAACCGTCTTTTTAGTTTTCTGTCAAGGTGTTGACCCGGTGCCTGACGGAAGATCGATGTTCCACTGTACAAAAATTCAAAGTTATTCATTGTTTAATTGATCCAAGTAAAAAAGTATTTTAAGAGAGCGAATAGTATTGACGGTGAGTTTCTGCCAATACGTTTTCGCGTGAAAACCGTATTGGGGGCATTCTGCCAATCCTGCTTTTTCCCGTCAATGCTGTCCTCTTGAATCTTTTGATTTCACGTTCATTGACTCGATTTGACATTTTAATCAAAAGACTGATTGATTTAATGTGTAAAAATGCTGATAACGAACAGGAAATATAAAACTTTGTTAAAATGCAAATAAATAAAATTTGACAGCAGACTGTGTAGTACACAGTGTGTACTGTTGGTCTATTACCATATGATTTAGGGTATTTTCTAGATAAGCGCTGTGACTTATACTCACAGCGCCCCTAGCGCGAACGTCGAAAGCTCCCTAAATTATGTGGTAATAGATCAACAGTACACACTCAAGTCGAGTCAATGAACGTGAAATCGAAAGATTCAAGAGGACAGTATTGACGGTGAAAAAGCAGGATTGTCAGAATGCCCCAAATATGGTTTTCACGCGAAAACGTATTGGCAGAAACTCACAGCCAATACTTTTCGCTCTGTTCCATACTTTTTTCTGACTGGGATGTTATATTGTGTGTAAAGGTTATATAGTCGAACCTGGATAAGCGAGAGTTTAAGGGACCGTCAATTTTATCTCGCATATAAAGGTTTCTCACCTATCAGTTTCTCACTTACAGAGGGCAAGAGCGATTCTCTTGCTATAAAGGTTTATGAATTAATATTGTTTTTAAAATTAATTCAATTAATGAATATACAACGCATAAACTATTAAAATGTATGAGTTAAACTGGAAGATTTATTTATTTAATTTTAAAGAAGTCTATCATTTTTGCTTGCTTTTTTGTTTAAGATTTTCGACTTCCTTCTCAAGCTCATAAATTTGATTAAAGACAGACTTATCTACGTTAGCCGAAAATTTATTAGTCAAAATAGTTTAATAAAATTTTGAAATATACCGTCAATAGAAAGTAGAAACTTTTAAAATTATGCGGTAAGCTTATTCACGTGAAACACAATTTAGTATTAAAGGGTTGGTTCATAAACTACGTAGCCCCTTTTTGAAATTTTGCTCACAATGAAAAACACTGTTTGTATCGTGGTCAATACTTAACTTCCTCCTTAAAAGACTACGTGTGTTGTGAACGTTGGCAATTTTCAACTACTTTATTTGAAAAAAATGAATTTAATTCCATTAAAAATGTTTTGTATTTTTTAGGTCCCAACTTTGCTATTTGCTGACTTACGAATACAGAGAGAAAATTGCAATTTGACGTACAGAACTTTGGAAATTAAATCGACAGAAGGTAAGAAAACAATTAATTAATAATTTCTTGAATTTTTACGATTACCACCATTTAAGTCATCACCAATTCTGTTTGCTTAGAGCATATTCTTTTTTTACTAGGCAGATAAATATATTCTATAATAATAAATGAATTGTATTTCTTACATTTTTATTATTATGTAACAAGTTACAGTGTAGAAAGTTATAACTTTTCTTCGTTGTTTAATAATTATTTATAAATTAATAAATTTTCGTAAATAGATAAAAAATGCATAAAGTTAGGCCAATTAAAGTAATTGTTCTTATTTTACAACCTAATTTTAATAGTTATCGAACATATAACTTTAGATACAAAATTTAGAAAGTTATATTTTTTACATTTTTAAATTCCAAAGACTTTGCAATAATAGTTTATTATTAGTTCCTTCAATAGGTTAATTGATTGTGTTTTAAATACTCAATAAATTGTTAATGATTATTTGAATTTTCACACAAAGATTTTAAATACAAATTTCAAATTTTACCTTTTTTATTTTTTATTTTTTAAAAGTTTAATTTCTTTTGATAACATAACTCTAAATATTTGTTATATGTCAAAAAAGTGTAAAAAATTTCTAAAATTAAAGAAACATATTTATAGGTGTCCTAACATTTTAAAAAAGTTGTGGACAAAAAACATTTTATAGCAATTTTATTTACTTTGTATATAAGGGTCAAAATCAAAAAATCGACAATATGTGCCTAACTTTTTAAAAGAAAATAAAATCTTTAAAATGTTGAAAAAAATTGTCTGTTTTGTTAGTTATGTTCTAAAATATGTCAAAATCATAAAATTCAAGATCAAGGAAATACTTATTAGCTTAACCACTTCACTGGCGGGGCGTTCCAAATGGCGTTCCACGCGCCGAGGCCCAGACTGGCAAAAACACCGAAATGGCGTTCCTAATAAAACTTTATTTTTAAGAGTGTACACTACTTTTTACTACTACAAAGCAATATTTCTATAGTTTAGACATCAGGGAACAAGATTATCACAATGAAAATTTCAGTTTTTGAGATTTTCAATGTTTCTTTGAACGTTGAAATAGTCGATTTTTAACACTTTTTAACAAATGGCGTTCCACTTTTGTTATTATTAATAATTATTAAATTTTATTTATTAATTATTTATATTTATTTTTTACTTACTACATTATTATATTATAATGTTTTGTATGTAAATATATTTTTTAAATAAAAAATATGAGTTTTACTGTGTAAAAATTGAAAAAAAGTGGAACGCCATTTGGTGAAAAGTGGTAAAAATTGACTATTTCATTGTTTGAAAAAACATTGAAAATCCCAAAAACTGAAATTTTTATTGTGATAATCTTGTTCCATGATGTCTAAACTATAGAAATATTGCTTTGTATAAGTTAAAAGTAGTGTACACTCTTTAAAAATAATGTTTTATTAGGAACGCCATTTCGGTGTTTTTGCCAGTCTGGGCCTCGGCGCGTGGAACGCCATTTGGAACGCCCCGCCAGTGAAGTGGTTAATAATATTTTTTTTAGTAATCACATATTTAACCTATTTCAATATGATGAAATTACAAAAAAAGGTTTATAGTAATAATTAATTTTTCATTTTAAGTTAGTTTCATTATTTAAATACTGAATTTACCTGTTAAATAATAATAACATATTATTTAGCGTGTTAATCGTTTTAATATGACTTTCTGAAAATATTTTTTGATAACTAACCAAATAGATTTTAGAAAATTTCTTTCTGTCTATGTAACGTCTGACTTCACTCCTTAAAAAAATATATGTCGGACGGAACACGATGACAAAAAATAATAAACATGAATTTTTATTTTTGTTATTATTCGAAAACTTGAATTTAGTTTTAATTATACATTCACACAAATAATATACATATACTAGCAAATTTTTTTTATATATTAATTACCATTTAAAAATGTTCGCCTTTAAAAAAATACTTGTGGAGACGATTACAAAAAAAGATGTACTCTTTTCTTAATATTATCAAAATATCATTTTACTGATTTTTAAATTGATTTTGACATTCCTCTATGCTCACGTATTATCAAATTTATATCATACTTGATTTATTTCATAGTTTTTCAACTTTCAATTGCGATACCAATTTGAAAACCGGTAAATATGTGTGTGAGGACACGATGATATTAAAAAATTTCAAATCTGGGGACACGTTAAAAATTCTTTAAATTTCGCATTTAGTGTTATAAAAATTCTCACCACTTTCCTATATTACACTTTATACATTGGAGAACACGTACACGAAAGAAATTTTATTTTATATAATAAAAAATTGAATTAAAAATTTTTTTATATCCTAAAATGTATATAGGGACACGGGACACGATGACATTTTGGACATATTTTTACTATTTTGTACCTGTTGTATCAATAAAAAATTAAATTAAATAACTAGGTATTGTAGATAAAATTATACTTTGCAAGATGTTTGTATTTTAAATCATGAATTTTTAACAAACAAATTATTATTTATCCAGGACAAGTTTTCAACGATTTTTTGATTTTAACCATAACTCTGTAATATTACCGGGCAATATTGCCACCAGGGGGACATTTTAGTATTACTGTAATATTACGTGCTACTTCCCTTACAGCAAATAGATTTCCCTGTGATATTAAAAGTTCCCTCTACTAAGACATCCCTAAAATATTCATGGTGGATACTTATTTTTTAAACTATTTTCTTGAAATTTAAAGGAAGAAAATAAAGTAATAAGTAGAATCTAAAAATAAATAAATCAAATTATAAAATATAAAATACAATAGATTTGTTTCACTTAATTGGTATCGTAATACCGGTTTTTATTTAAAAAAACCTGTGTGTATAATAATTATTTTCATGACATAAATTTGCTGACAAGCTGTTAACGCAAATTTTTAAGATTAGTTTATTAACTCAAACTTTTAAATGATTTTACATTTAATAACAATACACTTTTGAAGGATGTTCCTGGGATGTTAAATACCACATCCCACATATATCCACAAGCCATTATACAACTATACAGAAATATCCCCTTGAGATTTTCAGGGTATAAAAAGTTCAATACTTTAAGATATTTGTAGGAATATCCATAAAGTATCCTTTTGATATCCCAGACAGCTATAGATCTAAGTGGGACGGAATTGGGATATCCATAGAATATCTTATGTTGTAAGGGTTGGGTTAATATTTCTAAATTTGGTGGCAAGGTACTGTCAAGTTTATGGAAATTTTTGGTGTGCCATATATGCTTCGTAAACTATATAGATATACCATTTAAAACTCATTTAGAAATATTCTTTAATTTTTTTTACAGAAATCATTGAAGGTACAACGTTCAAGCGACACGTAAAAAGTACAATAAAGGAAAATATGGCAGATCCTCTTAACATCTTTTCCGAAATTTTTATGGAGAGTTTTAAGGAAGCAATGAGGCAGAATAATCAGTGCCTCGTTAATGAGTTGCTATTACAAGGAAGTGTTTACCAAAGCGATAAATTTGGCAACACATTTTTACACGCTGCGGTAATAATAGGCTCATTAGACACAGTAACAGTTTTATGTAACTTAGGGGCGGATATTTATGCTTTAAACAAAGATAAGAAAACTCCATTGTTTTATGCCATTAAGAGTTCTGTAGATATAGTCAAAATATTATTAAGTAATAGAGAAATTAGTGATTGGTGTTTACTGCGTCAGGCTATTATTTTTGGATCTGAAGAAGTAGTTAAATTTTTTGTAAATAATTTGCCATTGTACATTAATAAAAATTTTCCAACAGAGTGTATATTCAATAGAAGTCTAAGACTCTCTAAAATAGTTAAATATGATAAGATTGAGGATATCTTAAAACTACTTCTTCAGCTTCAAAAATATGTCAGTCGTGAATATTTAGATTATCCTTTGTTAATTTTTTTCGCAGCAAAAATAGCCAACAAACATATTTTACAATTAGTTTTAGAAGACTGTGAAAAATATTTAGAAGAAAGTATAGGTTTCACTAAACCGTTGATTGAAAGGAATGTGGAAAGAGATGAAACACAGAATCGATTTCTTCCCTACGAATTAAATTTTCAAGGTAGTTTTTGCGAAACAGCACTTCATTACGCAGTGAGTCTTCAACTGTCTGAAGTTGTGCTGTTTCTTTTACAAGAAGGAGCGGATCCCAATTGCAAAACTCGTAGTGGTTTAACACCTCTTCATTATGCATCATATCTTGGAAACGAGAACATTTGCAGTATTCTGTTAAACTTTGGAGCGCAGGTCAATCCGAATTCGTGTCAAACAAATTTCGGACTAATTTTACATTCGGATTGTCCAAGCAATCCATTACATTTAGTTTGTGGTGAGTGGACCACGCGAGAAGTTTTAAATTCTTCTTGGAATTCTTATTGTAAGGAATTGCATGATTCGAATTTCTTACCGGGACCTGTTTTTGATAGGAAGATATTAAAGCTATTACTGAGTTATGGAGCAAATCCTAAAATTTCAGGACATAATGGTTTTAATCCTTTCTTTGAAGCGTGCAGAACAGGTCGTTGGAAGGAAATGAAGATTTTTTTGGAATTTCTTACAGACGTTTATGCTTATGATATAGAAGAGAATACAGCTCTTCATCTTGCAGCAATTGATGGTGCCTTTGAAACAGTAGATCTTCTACTGGCGAAAGGCATTGACGTCAATGTAAAAAATTATTTAGGTTATACTCCTCTTATGTATTACATAACAAATGTGAAGAATCCATGTTCGAAAATGATAAAACTTTTCGCGTACCATGGCGCAAATTTAAATGACAGAAGTAATGAAGGGTGGACAGTTTTACAAATGGCTGCTTCATTTAATAATCCCGAAGCTGTACTAACCTTGTTGGAATTAGGAGACAAAGAATTGTGGAATTTGTCTCCTGATTCCCATACTCAAGGTTTAGTCTCAAGTTCGTGGTCAACTGGTGGACAGGGATTAGAAGTTCTTCTGTCTTTCATCTCTTTAAGAGAGGATAAAATCGGAAATTATATTAAATGTTTTATAAAACCTTCTCATTTCAATAAAGCTTCTACTTATTTTGAAAAGTCAAAACTAGAACAGGAAGAATTAAGGAAAGCGATAGTAGTGCATAGAAGAAATATTTCATATTACAATATTTTAACATGGAATTTTTCAACATTAGTACGTGTTATTAAAATTGCAAAATTAAGAAATGAATTAACTTATTTTTCAAATGTAAGTTTGAAGTTTCCATGTTATGCACTTTTAATAAATCGTAGATTATCAAGAATTAAATCATTAGAAGCTTCTGTGGATAAAGCTATCGATTTCTTTATGAATTTCGGCGAAAAAAATCTACCGTGTCTAGTTATTGAGAAAATTCTTAGTTATCTTTCTTGTCGAGATTTTCAGGTGTTTGGAAATGTTCTATAGGAAATTTAATTATTATGAACTTATAAATAGAGACATTAGATTTTCGTTTTAATTTCTAGTTACCACTCGCAATGCTGAAATTGACATCAATATTAACAACATATTCTCAACAGTTTTTGTAATACAGAAATATTGTCAATACTGCTGCAACTTTCAGTAGTGTATGGGCTTTATATTATTATAATTTACATAATTTATTGTTTTATAATCAATTTATTTATTGTGAAATATGTTTGTTGTTATTTTAGTATAAATAATGTATAAAGTGTGTATATTTAAATAGTGTAAATATAATTAGTGTGCATATGTAAATATTGTGTATGTATGTATATTTATGTCATAACTTGTATGTTTACAGAAATGTCTTAATTAAAAAAAATAAAAATGTGTTTTTAAATTAAATTTGTTAAATTTTATCTCAAAATGTAAAAGTACTTTTTATTAACACAAAGAACTGATATCTTCCATTAAAAGTTTAATAAATGGTATTAAAAACGTATTCTGCTCTTTAATATTTTCATAAATTATCCTAAACTTACAATAATGCTATAACATAGTTTGTTTTATACCATTAAATTTGTTAGTATACTCAATTAAATAGTATTTTTAATTAACTTAAATATTTTTCTAAAAGAAAATCTTTATAATTACACTACCGTCCAAAAGTATCAGGACGATTACATTCGACTCTATGAAAAAACATGCCATCACTTTTTCAATCATATCTCGGAAATAAAAGGATGTACAAAAAAACTTAAATACGGTTAGAAAGCTGATTAAATTCTGCGTAAAATAAGCAATCTTTAAAGTCATTTCGTTAATTATTTTTTAAGTTGTAGAGTAAGAAAGAAATAAAAAAATTTATCAAATTTTCTCATTTTCGTCTCTTGACTTCAACTTTTTCAAAAATCCAGAAAAATTTAGATAAAATTTTTCTAAAAACACAGAAATCTTTGTTAGAATTTCAGCTTTAAAATAAGCCTTCGAAAATTAAAAAAGGTTAATCCGTCTATGATAAATCATTAAAAATGTGAAGCCGTGTTTCGACCGATTGGTGCATTGAAATTAAACGGTGACGAAGATTTCTGTGTTTCTAGAAAAATTTTATCTAAATTTTTTTAGATTTTTAAAAAAGTTGAAGTCAAGAGACAAAAATGAGAAAATATGATATTTTTTTTTATTTCTTTCTCACTCTACAATTTAAAAAATAATTAACGAAATGACTTCAAAGACGGCTTATTTTACGCAGAATTTAATCAGCTTTCTAACCGTATTTAATTTTTTTTTGTACCTCCTTTTATTTCCGAGATATGATTGAAAAAGTGATGGCATGTTTTTTCATAGAGTTGAATGTAATCGTCCTGATACTTCTGGCCGGTAGTGTAGGTACAGAACTGAAAATATTTTTTAAATGCTTTAAAACAACTATTTTCTTAAAATACATAAATTGAAATTTTATTAACAATTCATAATCTTAAAAAATTCGTACATTAAGGAAACAGGAAATCAAAATGGATTTAAAAAGTAAGTATATAATTTTATACTACGGGGTAACTACTCCAGCCGTTTGCTCCATATTGTACACTATTAATACAAATATTACTATATTAAAATATATCCTAAATACGATTTTATTTGAATAAATATTTATAATTTCTTTCAATATTAATTTTTTTAAGTAAAATTTCTAAATAAATAGTTGTAGAATTTATCACTCGGTAAAAGATAATAGGTATAAAATATCAAGAAAATTATCTATCCTCCAAGTCAAATATTAAAATAATAAATAACACAATTTTAACGTTTCGACAGCCCTGCTGTCCTTGCCAGAAACGTAAAATTTCTATAATTATTTTATGTTTCTGATGAGGACAGCATTGCTGTCAAAACCTTAAAATTGTGTTTTTTATTATTTTAATATTTGACTTGGAGGATTGATGTTTTTCGTTTTCATTTGAAGAAGCCGAAACGAAGCTTAGGTCAATTCTTTTAAATACTGTTTTAATATATTACGCGGAAAAAACTTTGCCGGTCCAAAGATTTGAACTCTCAACTTTCATTGTCGAAGACAAACAGCTTGTTCGCTCAGCTATTTAAGGGGGCAGTCTGGGTTTTTTGCACGTATTTTAAAGATTTTTTTTCAAAGTGAAATTTATTAAATATATTAAACTATATATATAAAAAATTTCTTTGTATTTTTTTGTTGCTAATGGCGAAGAACTGGCGACTGTAAGTAGAGTCTTCAAAAATCTGTTTGACATGATATATCCAGTCAGAACAGACGGAATCAAAAAGTTCAAACAGCGAGACGCATGCTTATTCCCGAAATCTTTTTTGACCAAATAGTTATTTGATATAAAACTACTTAACTTAAAATTCACATAATATGCACATTATTTAACATAAATTTCTTTTGACATAAAATTCATTTAACGTAAATTTTATTTGTTATAAAATTCATTTGACATCAATTTCATTTGGCATAAATGTCATTTAACGTAATTCTCATTTGACATAAAATCCATTTGACATAAATATCATTAGACATAAAATTAGCTTGACATAAATTTCATTTGACGTGAATATCATTTAACATAATTATTATTTAACGTAAAATTAAATTTATATAAATTTCATTTAGCATTAATGCCATTTAACATAATTCTCATTTGACATAAAATTTACTTGACATAAATTTCATTTGGTATAAATCCCATTTAACATCATTTTCATTTGACATAAAGTTCATTTGATATAAAAGACATTTAACACAATTCTCATTTGTCATAAAAGTCATTTAATAAAATTCTCATTTGACATAAAAATCATTTTACGCAAATTACATTTTACATAAAAATATCGGCGCTAATTTAAAAGTAACCAATTAGATATTATCAACAACATTGTGATTCGCCAATTTTGAAATTCGCGCCTATATTTCTATGTCAAATGATCTTTATGTAAAATGAAATCTATGACATCTGAATGTTATGTCAAATGAGAATTATGTGCAATTACTTATCCGTCAAATGAAATTGATATCAAGTGAACTTTATGTCAAATGAAAATTATGTTAAATGGGATTTATACCAAATGAAATTTATGTCAAGTAAATTTTATGTCAAATGGGAATTATGTTAAATGGCATTTATGCTAAATGAAATTTATATAAATTTAATTTTACGTTAAATAATAATTATGTTAAATGATATTCACGTCAAATGAAATTCATGTCAAGCTAATTCTATGTCTAATGATATTTATGTCAAATGAGAATTACGTTAAGTGACATTTATGCCAAATGAAATTGATGTCAAATAAATTTTATAACAAACAAAATTTACGTTAAATGAATTTTATGTCAAAAGAAATTTATGTTAAATGATTTTTATGTCACTAGAAATTTATGTTACATAATTGTTATGTCAAATGGGAATTAAGTTATCTGAGTTTTATGTAACATAATATTTCTGTTTAATGAATTCTATGACAAATGATATTTATGTTAAATGGTTTTTGTGTGCAATGAAATTTATGTCAAATAATGTGCATATTATGTAAATTTTAAGTTAAGTAGTTTTATATCAAATAACTATTTGGTTAAAAAAGATTTCGGGAATAAGCATGCGCCTCCAAACAGCATATTAAAATATAGGGAAGTGGTTATAGCCGGAAGTAAAACAAAAAATTTCCATTGAAAAATAACACAATGGCGGATTTTTTACAATTTTAACTCAACTTTTGCAACTGAAATTGTTTAAAAACAGGTTAAAAATTATGATTTTACTTCGGGCTATAATCACTTACCTATATTGTATTATGCTGTTTGAATTTTTTGATTCCGTTTGTTTTGACTGGAGATATCATGTCAACCAGATTTTCGAGGACTCTACATACAGTCACCAGTTCTTCGCTATTAGAAACAAAAAAATAGTAAGAAATTTTTTACATATAGTTTAATATATGTGTAATAATATGTAAAATTTTAAAATATTTAAACAAATTTCATTATGAAATTTTTTTTTTCAAAATACGTGCAAAAGACTCAGACTGCACCCGTAAACTACAATAAATTCTGAGTTTTAGAAGTACTTATCTCATAGTGTTGCAAACTTCAAAGGAATTAAAAAAAATACGAAATATTAAAACGGAATAAACAGGAATTAAACTTCTCACATAATATTTCGGAATTCAAAAAGATTCAAAAATTAAAAAAATATTATAACGGAATTGATTGGAATTCACTTTCAAAAAATCTTTGTCTAAAAAAAACACGTTTTTCTGGTCGTTTTGACACATATAACTCCTTGGACTGAAAGGATTGTAAAAACAAATTTTTTTAATAAGTTTCGAAAAAATATTTTTTTCAGTTATGAATTGTTAAAAAAATTTATATAATATATTTTAAAATCAATTCACAATGATTCCACCTTTTTTAACAGGTGTGAAAAAAACAGTTCTCGGTTGACTTTTATCAATTTATTTTTAAATTAAATCTGTTCCGGAAGTTTTCTCAATATTTATAAATTAATTAGTGAATTACAGTTGATTTTTATTGTATTATGATAAAACGTAAGTTATAATAATCAAATAAATAAACTATTCATTAGAATAAAGCTAGATACAGTGTATAAGAAAACGCGAGGTTTAAATGTTCACAGTTCTCACAAGACTGGTTAGTATATTCGCATTACAGAGATACAACTGTTTACACTATACGCTCACATAATAATAATACATTCTTATAGCAATAGTAGTGGTAGTTATATTTCGTTTATGACTTTTATTGTGTCCGAGAAGGCAGTACAAATAATAATATAGATATATGTACTCTGTTTACTTGTAAATTTTACTTAATGGAATTATCTTTATTTTCTTAATACAGTATGATTGTATATATGGGTCTGTCCATGTCTAAATGATAAAAAAAATTAAAATCATCCCATCTTTTACTAAAATTCTTATGTAAAAACAAATAATGTATTTTAATAAAGTTATAATAAATTTTCCATTTGTTTAAATAAATTTTTGTTATATACTAACTTTTTACAGAATGTACCTATAAAGATACATTTTTTCCAAATTTTGCAATTTATCGAACTTTTAATAAATAGAGATTCAAATTTAAAACGCACTTATTATTTAATTAAATTTTAAACAAATTTATTATTTGTATTTACTAACTATTTACAGAAAAGTATCTAATAGAAAGATGCAGTTTTCTCAGATTTTGAATTTAACCAAATTTAATACTTATAAACACCTACCAAATTCAGATTAAAAACAAATTGTTATTTCAACTGATTTTAAACAAATTAATATTGTTCATAATCATGTTTTCAAGCAATTTAAGTACGAAGATAAATTTTTTTTTCTAATTTTCAAA